AAAAATAAAGAATATACGACTATTGATCTCAGGGTTGTTATGAGTTCAAGCCCCATGTTGGGTGTAGAGATTGCCAAACCAAACACTTAAAAAAAAAAGTTAAGTGAACAACTCAGAGGCATTTATTACATTCAGTGTTGTGCAACCACCCTCTCTGGTTCCAGAACATTTTCATTCTCCCCACCCCTGCAAAGGAAACCCCATACCCCTTAGCAGTCATTCTCTCCCAGCCCCTGGCAACCACTGATCTGCTTTCTGTCTCTATAGATTTACCTATTCTAGATATTTCACATAATATGTTCTTTTTTTTAAATTTTTTTCATCTTTATTTATTTTTGAGAGAGAGAGAGACAGAGTGTATGCAGGGAAGAAGCAGAGAGAGAGGGAGACACAGACTCCGAAGCAGGCTCCAGGCTCTGAGCTGCCAGCACAGAGCCTGACGTGGGGCTCGAACTCATGAACTGTGAGATCATGACCTGAGCTGAAGTTGACGCTCAGCCGACTGAGCCACCCAGGCGCCCCTAATATGTTCTTTCAAAAAAATTTTTTTAACGTTTATTTATTTTTGAGAGACATGAGAGAGACAGAACAGAGCATGAGTGGGGGAGGAGCAGATAGAGAGGGAGACACAGAGTCTGAAGCAGGCTCTAGGCTCTGAGCTGTCAGCACAGAGCCTGATGTGGGGCTCAAACCCACCAACCATGAGATCATGATCTGAGCTGAAATCAGACACTTAACAGACTGAGCCACCCAGGCACTCGTCACATAATATGTTCTATTTTATAATCAGTTTACTTGGTGCTCTCCTACTTAGTACTCACATGATTTCTACAACAGCCCTGTGAGGTGGGGAGGCAGACCCTATTATTTTTACTTTATGTGTTTATTCATTTACTTACTTTTCCTGAGTAGAGAGTCCCCACATACCCTCCTGCCCCACCTTGCCCTCTCCCATAGGCTTCACCTGTTATTAATATCTTGCATTAGTAACATATCTAACATTAGTAAATGGTATATTTGTTACAATTCATGAACCAACATCGATACATGATTAGTATCAGAAAGGATATTAGTAAAATTCAAGCCCATAGTTTATTCAGATTTCTTTAGTTCTCACCAAATGTCCTTTTCCTGTTCCAGGATTCAATCCAAGATAGCACATTATATTAAGTTGTCATGTCTTTGTAGTCTCCTCTTGGCTGTGATAGTTTCTCAGACTCCCTTATTGTTGATGACCTTGGTAGTTGTGAGGAATTGCAGTCAGGTATATCATAGGATGCCCCTCTGTTACAATTTGTCTGATGTTTCTCTTCTAATCAGAATACGGATTGGTTATAGGTTTGCGGGAGGAAGATCAGAGGTTAAGTGCCACTTTCATCGCACTGCCATGTTATGTTTAATCATCTCTTGTCCTGGGATGCATCTTGGCCACATTCCAGATGAGGACACTGAGGCTCAGCCTGAGGTAGGGCTAGAAATGGCCATGCCCGGACGTGAACCCATACCTGCTTCTTCCCGCTGAACCATTTCCTTCTACGCTGGGTAAGGTTATGCCATGTCCGAGTCAGTACAGAATCAACTGGCCTAATTCTAACCCTGTGGCCTCTGCTCAAGCCCTCCAGGATTCCAGCTCTCTATACTTTTCCTTTGAGCATGTACCGGGGCCAAAAAAAGAAGAAATCCGTCTGGAAGGGCTCCCCTATTTTATCCCAAACCAGTAACCCCAGGAAAATTCCTTCAGCTAATGAGATAACACTGAAACAGCTTTTAGTAAACAGATGGGGAAACTGAGGCCCAGCAAGGGCAAGTGATTTGTTTGCTTGGGACTGACTCTTCCCCCACCGGACCCAGGATTTTAAGTCATCCTTTGCTTCATATGTGCCTAAGGGTTGTTGTTGTTGTTGTTGTTGTTTTATGTTTATTTATTTCTGAGACAGAGACAGAGCATGAGTGCGGGAGGGGCAGACAGAGAGGGAGACACAGAATCTGAAGCAGGCTCCTGGCTCTGAGCTGTCAGCACAGAGCCCAATGCAGGGCTCAAACTCACAAACCATGAGATCATGACCTGAGCCGAAGTCGGTCGCTCAACCGACTGAGCCACCCAGGTGCCCCATATGTGCCTAAGGTTTCTACATCTGTCCAGTACGGTAGCCATTAACCACATGTAGCTACTTAAATTCATTACAATTAAATAATATCAAAAATTAGTTTCTTGGGGCCCCTGGGTGGCTCAGTCGGTTAAGTGTCTGACTCTTGATTTCAGCCCAGTTCATGATCTCACGGCTAGTGGGTTCGAGCCCTGCATCGGGCTCTGTGCCAACAGCAAGGAGCCTGCTTGAGATTCTCTGTCTCTCCCTGCCCTGCTCTCTCTCTCTCTCTCTCTCTCTCTCTCTCAAAATAAATAAATAAATAAACATTAAAAAAATAGTTTCTCGATCCACATGTGTCTAGTGGCTGCGGTATTGGACAGCACAGATATAGACTATTTCCATCATCACAGAGGGCTCTGTTGGACAGTGCTGTTCAGGATGATACACAGACTGTCCCAGTGCCCACCAAGGGGTGGGCGGGGACTGGGAGAGTAAAGTTAGCTCAGGGCCCCACATCAGCCTGACTGAAGGGTAGGTCTGTTAGCCTCCAGAATGAGTGACAACTGCTTCAGGAAAGGGAAGGCTTGGCCAGCAAAATTCTAAATCCTTCTTGTGTGGGTTCTTTGGCGTCGGAACAAAACAGAGGACCAAGCACTGCTCCTGGTGGGTCTGAGGAAGGAGGAGAAGTTGGTGCTACAAATCTTCTAAGACTAATAGTATTAACTACCGTTTACTGCAGACTAACTCTACTCCAGGTCCCATGCCAAGAACCTGGCATAAACCTCTGAGATGGGTCCAGTTTCAAACCCCATTTTTTCAGAGAAGATAATTGAGACTCAGAGAGGTTAAGGGACAGCCCCAGTGTCACTCAGCACAACTGAGATGTGAGTTGGATCTGGT